ATCTATTATGGATTATTAGATACAGATAAGTAGAAAACGACTTCCAAGGGATCGGTGGGAGGGGGAGGGTCGAGGTCTTGGGGGAAAGTATTGGAAGCCCGTTTGGCAGGCACTCGCAGTGCTCCTGTCAAGAAGATGCTATCAGCCATGTCTTCTAGTATAAAGCTAGTAAGGATAATTTTTGCTCACTGTTGTTTAACGTAAAATTGATGTGGTATATAATTTCATTATTCATACATATACGTGTATATTCTTTGATACTCACATTTACGTTAGTGGTAACGTAATGTGCTTTACGGTACGGTCTACGGTACTGAATGAAAGAAACTTGCTGGTTGGAATAATCAAAGAATTTCAAAAATATTAAATACATTTTATTAAAGTGACGTATTTTTTACAAATCACAAATGACACATACACACAAAAAAACACACACACACACCAATATATATATATATATATATATATATATATATTATTATATATATATATATATATATATATATATATATAATATATATATATATATATATATATATATGTATATGTATGTGAGGCAGCCAGGTCTCGCCATCAGTCGCGAGAAGTGCCTGATGGTGAGTAGCGCAGAAGGTCTATATAAGTATATAGAGTTAGCGAGGACAAGGCTGAACGTGGCGGTATCCTCGAAAGTGTTAGACGATTCTGAGAATAAAATTTGTCTCAAAAAGTGTCCGAGACAGAAATGTGTCGGTCGTTCGTTTACATTTTATTTGCGCTTATCAATGTATTACTTGTTCATAAATACATAAAAAAAAATATGCAAATATGTTTTTTTTATTGTTTAAAAAGAATATTATACTGACGCAATACATACAAATGCATAATTACCTGGATAAAAACCATGAATATCACTGAGACTGTGTGTAGATGACCTTTCTGAAGCACCAAGGCTGTGACATTGCTTATACGGAACTTTGAAATTCGTATACACAAATAATTGAATACGTGTATTTTCTTACAGAACAACATATGATGAACATGAAAGCACATAAAAAAGAAATATAAATGAAAAATACGAGGAATACAGTGCAATCTACCGAAGCGCTGGAGGCCACAGCTATCGCTTGTTGCGGTCCTGCGTTCTAACTTGTGTGCCATAAATGGTACTTGATTTTATATCATGAAGATGGACAAACTATACAAGCGAAACTATTAACACCTCGATATAAGATTTTGCAGATGTTAGGGATGATTCTTTTATGAATGAAGAAAAATTTTCTTCTCCTGGTTTGTGTAACAAATTTGTGTTGCTGCAGTATTACCTATTTATGAAATGTAATTGAAAACCCTTTGTGTT